AAAAAAATATTTCTTCAAAGTTAACTTACAAAAAATGTTTTTGGCTGCAAACGCAGCTATGGAGGCGCATAAAATATGCTCTAAAATATATAATCTTGTTGGTGAAAATATGGAATTTTATGTTAGTATTCCAAGTTATATTTGACAATAAGCTTCCTTGAAAGCTTAAACAAAATAATAATTTTTAAATTAATTAACGTTCAAATTTATTTTTGATTGATGCCCTCTAACGGACGAATGAAGCACTTTTGTATAAAGGTAAATTATTGTCTAGTTTGGAAAAATAAATTCTCCAAAATGTTTTTTGCGATGTGGCCTTTTTTTACAACAGACAAAAAATGTGGTAAATACTAGAGGACCATTTTACAAAAAGAAAATCTGTCGTCGGTGGAGTTGAAAAGTATTTATGTAGAGGTAGGGGTAGTTTTCACCCTTCCCGTACGTTTTCTTGATAAAAGCAAATGCTAGAGCATTTAGTAAAACATAGACACCCAAAATCTCATTCAAATTGGAATAATGGTTCTAAAATATCTGAAAAAATGTGTTTATTTTTTTGATGCCCTCTAGCGGACAAACGAAGCATTTTTGTCAATTTGTCAAATTGTGTTCAATCAACTTATTTTGATTTCAAAATACGTAGTAGTTCTATGTCCATGGAATATTCGTACACCCTGTATATGTTTATATTAACCACAAAATAGACACTTTAAATGCTTTTTAGTCATAAATAATATTAAACTTTTAGGACTAAATTTATTTATTCTTATAATATAATTAATATTTTTTTAAGAAACAGGAAAACATTAAAAAAATATATTTACGGTTTTTACATAAAATATGAATAAAAATCTACCTAATTAAATTTAAATTTTCACCATACAATGTGTAAAAAATATATCAACAAATTAGTACACATAAACACTAAAAAAATAAGTGGTGGTCTATAATCTTACACTCTTCGCTAATTAATCAATATATTTCTTTAGATTTTTTCCTTTACAATATTAGTTAATTGTAATACAAAATAATTATACTGCAAATGTATAAAAAGATTTGTAGAATTCCCTAATTTAGCAAATAATACGACATATATACAGGGGTTCAACAAATAAAATGTATGAGTTACTACAGAGATATAGGGTGTGCCAAAGTTCCATTTTTTGTTAAGTGAGTTTTAAAAATGTTTATGTAGAATTTTTTCACTCTATCTAATAACAAAAAAAAATATATTTAGCATGTCATACAACAAATCTCATGGCGGCTATTATAAAAATGCTCTCTCACTATATAAAAAGTGGGGTTACGTAACAAAATCTCGAATAAAGTCAAAGAGAAACATTGTTCAAAATTTATTAAGCAAAATGTTGCATCTAAGGTTGGAAATTTATTTTTCATAACCAGTTACTCAATTTACTACAGCTGTATTAGATTATATTTAGCTTAGATGTAATATCTTCATTTGAGTAGTATATAAGAAAGTTTTTAAAATAGTTTATTTTTTTCTAATTTATTTAAAGCTAAGATAATATATACCGGGTCAAGTCCAGAATCAGACCCGCCATTCTGGACTCGAAGCTTTCCTAGATAAGGAACACGGAGGAAAGGATGATAAGTAAGAAACTGTTTGGAAGAAGATGAAGTCTGCAACCGTACATTATATACTGGATGTACACTGCTATAGTTAGACCAATCATCACCTATTAGTCTAAGAGCTAGCAACGTTTTCGAGAAAGTATTTTAAGACGTCTGGCTCTTTGATATATCTTTTATTATGCTCTCTGGAACAGCGTGCAGGCCGTCTGCCTGCCGATACACGTTGCGTTCACTACTGCGCATCGAAAGAAGATCCTATATTTTTTACTTAGCGCTTTAAATTCTAGTATTGAATAAAAATCGAGTAAGTCTCCATTAGCTCGGCGTGTAGAGCTTTCGCCTATGAAGCGAAGGTCAGTGATTCGATACGGGCGGGGGTGCAACTTTTTTTAATTTTTTTTTCATTTATATTCTGATAGTAAAGTATTAAATATTTGTTTTTTTTTATCACCAGAACAGATGGCGTTTATGATCCGTAGTGTATATAAGTAGAATTTGATACTTTCATTTGTTTTGAAGGATTATTGTGGTAATTAATTATTAGATAGGTTTAGGATGGTCTGGCTGCTGCGCCGGTAGGTTGCGTTCACTACTGCGCATCACATGGGTACAGGGTGTCTCATTTTCGTACGTTTTTTGGGATTTCTCGTTTACGAGTGGAGATACAATGATGCGTTTTGTTTCACATTACTTTGCTAGTTTTTTATGTAATTAAATATTCTACCCATAGATTTGCGCATTTTCTACACATTAACATTAATCAATCTTGTTTAAAAAGTATTATTATTTTATTTTATTTAATTTAACCAGATAATTTTGTTTTCCATCGTTATCTTAACAAACTGAACTGAAAATAAACTTGTGTAGCTTTTAGATAACAATCTGTTAAAAAAAAGTATTATTAAAATAATAAACAACAGCTGAAAAAAATATTTTGAAGAAAGACAGGCAGAAATTACGTTAATAATTAATTAAGCATTAAAATGTTAATTTTTATATATTATGTTTAAATCTTTAAAATGAAATTATAAAAGAATTAAATATTTTTATGAATGAGGCAAGAAAAAATTACGGCCAACATTTTTAGTTTTATTTTTAGACATTATGTTTAAATCATTACAATCTAATTTGTATTATAATTGAATTAAATATTTTTATTTAATATTATTGTCAGCAAATATTTATTACTTTACTATCAGAATATAAACGAAAAAAAAAATTAAAACGTTGCACCCCTCGCCAGTATCGAACCACTGACCTTCGCTTCATAGGCGAAAGCTCTACGCGCCGAGCTAATGGAGACTTGCTCGGTTTTTATTCAATACTAGAATTTAAACCGCTAAGTAAAAAATAGAGGATCTTCTTTGGATGCGCAGTAGTGAACGCAACGTGTATCAGCAGCCAGACGGCATGCACGCTGTTCCAGACAGCATAATAAAAGATATATCAAAGAGCCAGACGTCTTAAAATACTTTTTTTCCCGACGTTGCTAGCTCTCGTACATGGAGCGCTAGTATGGTGGGAAGCGGTACTTAAAGAGACTTATAGAAAAAGCCTCACAAAAGTACAGCGATTAGCAGCTCTAGGTGCAACTGGAGCATAGAACAACACAGCGTAAGCTACGTTAGAAGTAATTCTGGAATTGCAATCAATCGACTGGCTCGTGAAGGATCTGGCTGCTAAGGGTGCCCTATGATTAAGGGAATCCAATCTGTGGAATCAGACCAACTCCGGTTACTCGAGGATATTGCCAGTGATAGGGAAAATCATAGCGTACACGAGTCCACATCTGCTAGACCAGAAAACGGACTATATGCTCACCAAACATAATTCTGGAGAAAAGATAAGGATTCGCATCCCGGCAAGAGAAGAATGGGAAATCAACCGAGAGATACAAGAGGTAGCAGTCTACACGGATGCTTCTGTAACTTTAGGAGGAACAGGTATAGGCATCTTCTCCGAGGAACTTGATTTCCGACGATCTTTAAGGCTATTGGATGGCTGTAATGTTCTACAAGCACAGGTTTACGCCATAAAGGAAGCGGCCAGTTGTATACGAGAGAAAATTGCTGATAGACCAATATGGGATATCGGGATATACTCTGACAGCTTGGGCGCTTTAAGAAGCATCACCATGAGATCGAAAACTGTGATGGACTGCCGTGAAGCACTGTCCTGGCTGCGTCAAGGCGGGGCTACTCTGTGCTGGGTGCCAGGCCACAGCAATGTGGTGGGCAATGGAGAAGCAGACAGACCCGCCAAAGAGGGGGCCAGGGAAGATGACCCACCACTTGAGACGATCAACACACTAAAGGAAGATATAGGAACTACCATCAAGGCCAAGCAGTACGAGACGTGGCAACACCGTGAGGACTGCGTTACAACAGCTCGAAGACTGTGGCCAGTACGCAACATAGTACGCATAATTGTAGATGTCATCACTGGAAACTGCCCCACGGGGGTAAACCTCGTGAGATGGAAGATTTCCAACGACGACTACTGCAGAGAATGCGGAGAGAAAAAGAAACCATACAGCACCTGCCGTGCCACTGTCCGGCACTGGAATACCGACGCTTTAAAACTTTAGGGCAAGGTTTTTTTGGAGGGACTAGAGAGGAAGCAGCAGAAGCCAACATCAGCGACATCGGGAACTTTGCAAAGAGCTGGAAGTGCTTTAACGCAAAAAAAGAATGAGAGGAAGGTTTGGTACAACAATAACAGGGGTATCGCAATGAGCCCAAGGCCTCCGAGTGAGGGATCAAACATGATCCCAAATACCAGCAACCTAACCTATACCGGGTTGACAAGAGAAGAGTCTTGGGTCGGCATTTACCGTCGAGGTGAATCACTATGGCGATCTTGTAAGTCGGAGAGAGAAAAATGCAAACTTTATTTTCTATCCACACATATCCCTGCCTACACACGTAAAAACCGGCAACATTGGATGTCGCTTTTTATTTTGTCTCTGTCTATCAACCGGTCATTTATATTTAAATAGATCTATTGTCCAGGACCATATAGACGCAAAGTCAAATTCAATATTTTGACACTTAACCACACTTTTTCCATGTGTAGAAAAGATTTTGTAATTTACAGCTATAACAGTTCTTGCATGGCATAATGTTATTTTTTGTTACTGGATATGAAGAGATTCTATATAAACTTTTTCAATAACTCAATAAAACACTTTATTCATTGCTGATTGCGAACTTTTTGGTACACCCTATATGTTATAAAAATATTATTCAAAAAACTTAAATAAAAGAAATAGAAACAATTTACAATTGGATACTAATTTACAATGGATAGAATCATCTATACTCTGAGAATAATACCTACTTATGTAATATTCTGAGAAAAAATATAAAAAAAAACAAAATATTAAGTGAATGCTATTGAGTATGCTATTTTTTATTCTCAGTCTATAGATTATCTGTTGTAAGTTATGTTGCATACAGTTTATTTGTTGTGGTTATCCCCGCATAAACATAACTTATTAGAATGATACATTAACATTATAAATTAATAAATACACTATAGATACAGTTTACATTATAAATACTGACAAAATTGTCATGAAAAAACAGTCAGTGGCGCGTCTACCCTATGTTTATTTTTTATCTCGAGGGAAGTTACGAACTAGAAAAATTATAGTTTTCGCCTTTTTACATTAAATATTTTTAAGAGTTTTTCTACGACCTTTCACGTGTCTACTGAAATAGACAAGACAAGAAATGATGCATTATTATTAGATTGCAAAGAACGTCTTTAATACTGAGACAATTTACTTGGTTTTCCATTTTTTTTGACACATAAAAAAGCATTTTTATATTACAGTTTGATTGTTGACAGTCTTTTAATATAAAATAAATCCTAATTTAACGTACTACAAACTCACAATTTATTTCAAGATACTACCTAGATGTTTTCGCGCTAAAAATGACAAATTAGTAACCGAAATTGTATAGAAAATGTTTGGAAGTCTTTCCCATTTCACCTCCAGCTTTAACTCGAACGATTCTATGGAAAGTTTGACTTGTCTAATGTATTATAGACACATATTATTATAGCGTTTTCTAAAAATACTGTTTTATTCTTATTTTTATTTTGGAAAATTATGTACCGACATTCAAATTCTTCCCTCATTATCTATCACATTTTCTAAATGACCTGATCCTTATCTAACGGTCTCCATCCTGTTTGAGGTCCGGCTTTGTTGTGCTTTTGTAGTTTGATTACCTGTAACAATTATGAAAATATTTTAGAAAAAAATACACTATTAAAAATCAAAATAAACATGTATTTTTTTTAATCTAAATAATTATCAATAATTATGTACAGTGTATGTATGAGTGGTCGAAATTGGTCTGTTTTAACAGAGAAAACCTATTTCCTGACTGGATAGAAATTGATGTTGATATTTTCACTGCCAACTGAGATACGGGGTCTTTTTGATTTTTTTACCATTTTGAAAATTACCCATAACTTTTTTATTTCGCGGAATAATAAAATTCTGTAAAAATGTTCTTAAGGCACTTTTTTAAGCACAATCCAGTGGCGTAGTCAGTTTTATTCTAAGCTTGGTCGTTTTGTCAGAAATAATGAAAAATATAATTTTTTAAATGGAAATCATAGTTGGCTATGAACTTAAAAAAATGCTGGCGTTTAATCCTTTCCAGCGATATAAAGTTATGGATATCTATTTCTAAGAATGAGAGAAGTATTAGGTTTTTTATCTTTATATCGAAGCTTGGTTATGTGTTGACCTATTTGCCTACTTATTTTTTTATCATAATTTAATATTCTATATTATTATTCATCTGTATAATTAAAAACTTTGGAAAAGGTAAATTAACATTCTATATTAGTATTAGTAATTACAATTGAAATCGCATATCGCATTATTGTATAAACTAAGAACAAAACTAAAAAAACGTATTTTTTGAGTGACGAATATAGTTTTCTAAAAAAAAATCATCAAACATGTTCAAACTGAGCACCTCTTTGTTGAATACACAATAAACATCTTTTGCGCACAGGGTTACAACGATTTATTACGCGAACTGGTGTAATAAGTCCAAAAGCTTGTCTAGTAGCCTTCTGCAATTCTTCTCTCCTTTCAGTGGTTCTTTCCTTATATATAAGGTCTCAATTTCCTATTCGAGTTAAATTACAGGACCTAACAGGCCTAGATAAGGGGGCTAAGATATGGGGCCCCTTGTTCCAATCCAATTCTCTCTAAATTCTCCACTTAATAGTGCAGTTGTAACCGTGGGTGTTTTAATTGTAAATGGTAATACTAATACAGAATTTACCTTTTCAAGTCTTTAATTGTGCAGATACATAATAATATACAATATAAAATTGTGATAATAAATAATTAAGCAACTAGGTCAACACAAAATCAAGGCCCGCTTAGATACAAAGATAGAAAAACCTAATATTTCTCTCATTCTTAGAAATAAATACACATAACTCTATATCGTTGGAAATGGTTTAACGCCAGCATTTTTTTAAGTTCATAGCCATCTATGATTTCCATTTAAAAAAATATATATTTTATTATTTCTGACAAAAAAAGCAAGTATAGAGAAAAACTGACTACGCCACTGGATTGTGCCTAAAAAAAGTGCCTTAAGAACGTTTTACAGAATTTTATTATTCCGCGAAATACAAAAGTTATGGGCAATTTTCCAAATGGTAAAAAATACAAAAAGACCCCGTATCTCAGTTGGCAGTGAAAATATTAACAGGCGGTTTACGCCATTAAACGTGTCTCAGAAATCGAGTCCATGACATCTATGTCGGTTTTGCTCTATCTAGTCAGGAAATAGGTTTACTTTGTTAAAACAGACCAATTTCGACCACCCTGTACAGTAGTTAACTACAGTTAAAGAAATATTCATAAATATTCCTGTAAAATATCTTTTGAACTTGGTACTTCATGGAATAAATAGAATTAAAGAAAAATTAGACATTGAACATGAAACATAAAAACGATAAAAATAGTTCAGCCTTCATAAATATTTAACTCCTTGTTGACAACAGTCCAAGTAAATCAAAATATTTCATTTAATACCTACTAGTAATTAGATTTAAAACGCTAGTAAACACAGACTAATTCTCCTGTAATGTATATACCAGTATTTTGATCAACTGGTTAATGGTTATAATATGGTTAATATTAATAAACTAGCACCAGAACAACTTTTGCAAAAGGCATGTCAAGTAGTCACTGTACTTCACAATACTATTTTTGTATCAAAAACTGGAATCACAGAGCCCTGTCAAGATAGCTTGTATTTTCCTTCCTTAAACCAACTGATTTTATTTCGAAAACTGAAGGTATAAATAAAGAAAAACAAGTTTAGATTGGAATGCTCGGTTTGCCGCCAAAACGTATAATTATTTTGGGGTGCATACATTGTACGGGATCTGGCGCTGCTATAGCGGTTGCTAAGAACAACCGAAAACAAGAATAGAAATAATTTTCTTTTGTCAACTCTTGTTAATTTAAATTTTATTTACTCGAACCCGTGATAATTGTGAAAAAGTAGCATTAAAAACTTAAAAAGCTGTGTGACCTGTGAACTGCAAAGACCATCGTGGATCGTGGCATAACGTCAGTTTCCAATGTTTCATAGGTATTTCATACATGTCCTTATATAAAATAGTTTCTTCGGTGCAACACACTGTATAAAATACAGAAGAAAATAAAAATAAAATCAAAAGAAAATAATAATAAATCTGCATAGACAATATTTGGCGACATAATTCCGGAAAAAGCCTAACCGCTCCGAAATTATCAAAAGTTTTGGGTCGCGACCGTTGCAAGAATAGCGCCAAAATAGTGTTTACTTTCCAATATAAACTTGTTTTATTTATCTATGGTAATATATTATGACAGTACTGTTGTAACTTTGTATGGTAGTGCCACAATGATCCAGTACACAAAACATCCCCCTTTAGAACATTTTTAGCCGACCATACCAACAGGTATGGTAAGCTATTAAGATCGGCAAAAAAAAAGTTTTTTTAATTTCACTCAAAATGAGTTTTTTGGGTCATAAATGACCTAAATACAACATATTTTCATGGTGTCTGTCTGTCTGTCCGTCTGTAACACGATAACTCAAAAACCGCTAAACCGATTTTAACCAAATTTGGCACAAAAATACTGTGGCACCCGAGAATCTGGCCATTAGTTTTTGGTGGGGGTGGAGGGTTGGTAAGAGGGTATGGGAGGGGGTTAAAAATTTAAAAAAATCGTAACTCCAAAATTACAGTAGTTAGCGAAACGCGGTTTTCAATTTAAGATTAGGAATAATATTTGCAACAAAATTTGTAATAACATGAAAATCAGTCAAAGTCGCAGTTTTTGAGATATTCCGTGTTTTCGTAGTCCGTTTTTGAAAAAATCCGTGTGGAGAACTCAAAACTCCCATCGGACGCGACCCCAGGTGGCGGATAGGGGAAATAACCGCGGACCAAAATTGGAAAAATTCCTTTACTTTGAAACTAAAAGAACTGCCTACCAACTTTTTATTAACATATATTTAGGCTATGCGATCAAACACTAGAGGCGCTGCTAGTCATTAACAAATTAACAAATATTCATTTGTTTTTTAAATATGTCAATATTATTATTTCGTTATGTTTTGTGAATATTCGGTGTGTGATTTTGGCAATTTCCTTATTAATTACTGGCGTATTTGTACTTATTTTACCAAGTACATTTTAAGTTGAAAATATCTTACCTCTAAATTCGCTATATTTCAGTTTCCATTGGCATTTTTCGCTATTATAGCATGTTTGTTATTTGTACTATCAGTACCGTATATCTTCCCCGCCTTTTTGGCCATCGAACCTAATAGTTCTTGACTTAATTTATGCGCCGACCGCAATGACTGCAACCATTCTTTAAGGCCAATTTCATCTGGATTTGTGAGGGTGATTTTTTCTTTTTTGCCGTCCTGGAATAAAGGCCATTAAATGAATAGTTTTGATATTGATGCAAACACATTGTGCTCACCTTTAATGTATGCATTCTTAATACTATACAACTTTCATTTTTCACACTTTGAAGGTCAGGACCTATTTCTTCTATTTGGTCCATTAGGACCATTTCCGGCCTGGAACCTTCGGGGTAGAGTTCTAGCCTGAAAAAAATTGAAACATTAAAAATAGAATCTCCAAATATACGAAGATAATGAAAAACAAAATAGAGACTATTTTAGGGTAATAAAGGATCTTTATTGCCACGTTCTCGTTCAAATTGTTTATCAGAGAAGCTACAAGCTGTTTGCTTCGACTGTTTAAATGCTTCGCCATATTTTCAACACACAATTTCAAGAAATGCAATACAAAAACTCGAAAATTTAGTTCGTAAAAGAACTGTTTGTGCTTAAAAGTGCAATTTTTAAAAAAAGAATACGAAAATCGGCAAATAACGAGAATTGCTCACAAAGATTCAACAACACGATATTATACAAAATAATGACAGACATTAGAATAATTGTCAAATAATAAAGGACAACATTGCTGATCACGGCGCAATGTGACCAACACAGCGATAATAAAATTCGGTTTAAACTAAATTTGCAGCTTTAATCTAAATAAAATATCCGTTACAATAATTTGCCCTATAAAGTAAAACGAAGAGCTGCTCAGTATCTTAAATTATACAACAAATTTAAACATTTTTGCCAAAATTTCATTTAGTTAGGTTTATAGACTTTAATGTCAATGTCGATATGATTGATGACGTGCATCGGAAAATGGTTTGCGATTACAATAATGCAGTTTATTTAGTTAAGAATATATTTGTGTTAACATACCTATTAGGATATAATTTGGCGTATCTTAACTGCCAGGAAGCCGTCCACGGACCACCTAACCTTTTAATGTAGCCGTGCAATATACAATCTGATTCTGTAAAGAAAATTATATTAATACCGTATACTAAGGACTGGTTTGGTTGTCTTGGTTTAGTCAAAGGTTAGTTTAGTTTTAGTTAAAGGTTAGTCTTGGGTCGAGATTTCCATATGTAAGAAGAGTACAATACATTTATAATGTACTGAACAAAGAGAGAACAGTAAACACGTTGCCAAACGTATGAAATAAACCGAGAAATTGTGCACATTGCTAAGAGACGTGGAAGGGGATTTGTCGCAGTTGACTGGTCGACCCATCAGTACCTCTGCCAGTACTTAAAGTTCTAGGGAAAGGTGTACATCAGGCGTTCAGCGTCACGATTTAATTACGTCTCGCGATACTTTATTTGTTTATTTATTAACGAGTCGTTGTAATTTTACCTATAGTTTGAAAATTTTTAAGTGCAAGTTAGAAGCACTGGAATTTTGTTGGTGTTTTGTGACAGTGGTCGCGCCATTAGAACTCTGAATTCAAAAATCGATATTTCGAAATCTATTAAAAATAATTGATTGTAGGTTTTTCAAAAACTTTTTTAACATTTCTGCTATATTTTCTTCGGAGAAAGTTGCCCAGAAACATATCTAATGATTTTATCTAGTTATCTTTTCGAAAAAAGTCGTTTAAAAATAAGCGGGTTGCGATAGTGATTTTATTTACTTGACAGGGAAAGGCGTACCGGCAACGCCGCTACAGTACACCGTCGCATTTCTCTCACTCCGACTTAATAAAATCCCTATGCGATTTACTTCCACACATGTAAATACCGACCCATAAGTAACAGTTGCCAGTACGGTATTTAATTTATAACGTAAGTACTCACCTTTTTCATCATCATATAGCTTTTTCTGTTTGGGCTTTTTCCTTTCGTTTTTATCGGCTTCCTGATTGACAGACTCGAACACTGTTTCAGCCACTTCATTCTGCCACCTTTCTGATATAACCAGAGGGAAGTTCTTGTAAAGTTCTTGGTCTGCGTCTGTAAGCTAAAAATTTAATTGTATAAGTATTGCTTAAGTTACCAATGGGCAGGTAAAAAGTAAAAGATTTTTAATTAAATGTGAAGCCCCTTATTTTATAATACATTCTTTTTATTTTGGTTCTATTCTTTTTTTTTATTTTGCTTGATGCTATGCTTTATAATGTATATTGGAACGAACGAAAAATATATTTGATACCAATTAAAATTTTAGTTACGTAATCGAGGGCGCAATTTAAATTCATTGTTGCCAACCATGGACATATTCGACGCCGGGCTGACTAACTGGAATTTAAATTTCCCGCTGGGGATTCAGGTGGCAACTTTGCAGTAAACAATGCCAAGTTGTCACATTTATTTATTTTTTTCCCGACATTGTCATTCGCTTTGACACTTTAGTTTTGTTTTACGAGTTTTTGGTTCAAATAAAAATGTTTACTAGCAGACCTTGCTGTCAAACATTGTTCTTTTTAGAAACTCTTTTAGTGCGAAGTGTGCAAGATATATGACGTACAAAATAAAAACCGTCGCACGCTATCGATTAAGTTAGTAAAGTTGTGCAGTGCTGCCACTACGCAAAGCTACTAGCCCTAATGGGATGTTTTCAATGAGTTTTAAGTTTGCTTCTCGATATTATGTTGGCAACGTCAAGGAAGCGGTTGCAGCGGTGCCACGTTTAACAGAACTTTCTGAACGTCAATTGAGAGTTGTGTCTTGTGTGTACTGTGTCTTTTAAAGCTTTTAAAACCTTTATCTAGCGATTGAAAACTGTTGTTTTCAGAATATTTTGTGTCGTAGTTGTTAGTATTTTCTTTGCAAAATGCCCAAGCAGTTAAATGGTGTCATGAATTAGTGTTATCTCTGATACAATATTTTGAGAAGGAAAGGGACAATAACGGCCTGTTGTTACCCTTAAAGGCGGTTTGAGGAGTAAGTAAACTATAAAATTAAAGATGTTTGGTAAAAACTAACCTAAAAATTGTTTTAAACAATAAAAAAACATGTTTTATTTAAAAATATTTTAAAACTGCCTTAAACTTTTTAAAACTGTTAACAATTTAATGGTTATTTTAGAATTTTTAGTACTTAGATATTAGACATTTTTCAAATATATTTCTCTTTCTATTACAATCTGGCAACAATGCTGTCTGAAATGTACGCACGTGCTCGATGACGTGCAACGGTTTTTAATTTGTATCTCCTTTAGCTTAATAGCCGTAAAAAACTCATCGCAATTTTATTAGAATATTTTGAGCGGAAAAGCGGTAGTAATGGCCCTTTATGTCCCTTAAGTGCTGTTAAGGTGAGTTTTGTTGATGTAAATATTAACTGTTTATATATTTACAATTAATATATTTTTGTTTCCTAAAATATTTTGATTAAAAGAAAATATGTAAAACTGGCCAACGCTGTGCCGGTCAAGCTTAATCACGTTACTAAAAGTGCATTTAATATGAACTATACAGGGTGGTCCGAACTGTGTTCCGGAAACTTCGGTAGCATATTCTGCAGATAAAAATAAGTACAGAAGTTCGTATAAATGTATGTCCTAAAATGATTGGTTTCGAAGATAACAGGGTGTAGAAGTTTCATTTTTATTTCGATTTTTTCCAAGCAATTTCTGAAGTAACGTCCATATTTAAATGAAATTGATGTCTGGGAGTTTTATGGCATAAGAAATTTGATTTTCATGTCAGTATGACTCCTACTTGTAGAGGGCGCCACCTACATGTTTTATAACTGGTTTGAAAAGCAATAACTTTTCGTCCGCACCTGTATAAAACTACTGAGTCAAAAAATATACATTTACGGCGTTTTTTTTACGCAAAAAAGATCTCTTTGTAAAAATCGCTACAAGTAATGGTTCTCAAGATATTTGGATTTGAAATTATCAATACATGTCATCATTGACATAAATTAAACTTGTTGACTAAATAGTTATTAGACTGAAATCATAAATTTGAAATGTTTTTGTGCCAAAAGTTCAATAGAAACTGTTTTATTATAATTTTTTTTGAAGAAAAATTTATGATTAATAATTTAAAAAATTAAAAAGTTCCCAAATTTATAATTTCAATCAAATAACTATCTACTCAACATGTTTATTTTTAGTCAATAATGACATGTATAGACTATTTCCATTCTAAATATCTTAAGAACGGTTGCTTGTAGAGATTTTTACCAAGAGACATTTTTTACGTAAACAATGGTAACGGTAATGTATATATTTTCAAAACAGTTAAAATACTATGACATGTAGGTGGCGCCCCCTACAAATAGAAATCATATTGACACATCAAAATCAAATTTCTCATATAAAAAAACTCCCAGACACAAATTTTCATCCAAATATTGACGTTCCTTCATAAATTATTTGGAAAAACCCGAAATAAAAATGAAACTTCTACACCCTGGATCTTCAAAACTAAGCATTTTAGGACATACATTTATACGAACTTTTCTACTTATTTTTATCTGCAGAATACGCTGCCGAAGTTTCCGGAATACAGTTCGGACCACCCTGTATAATAAATTCATAGGTAATATCGAGCAATTTCGAGTTTTTTTATAGTTCAACATGACAACATTGATCTTTTTGCCCGCATCCCTTTCGCTGCTTCAGATCCGTTTGTCGGATATTACATATAATTTATAGATACCTTTATGCCTTTGGTATCTTCCTCGTCAAACGATCCTATATCAAAAGCATCCGCGGCATTTACTTCTCCTCGCGGAGGTACTAATGGAGGGTTATATTTTTGGTTGTAAACTTGACTCCAGTCCAAACCACCGAAGAAAGAGTGCTCCTTTACTTCATCGGCCCCCCTCCCCCGACATCCTAACCTAAAACAACAAAGAAACAAAATTATATATACTTTTTTCCATAGCAACTGTTAAAATTGCCTTATATCTATCAAAAATAGTAGATAAAATAGCATATAAAATAGTACTTTAACCGCAAGGATAGGTTAAAACCTTTATTTCTTCTCGCACGTTTTTTAATTGCTTCCATTTTTTAAAATGTTCGTATTCCTTTTCATAAGTTATTCGGGATTTAAATGGAAGTAGTTTGAATATCTGTTGGTAATTTACTTATTTCGTTTTGAGCCATTTCTGGCTCCAATTCAATCAGCAATCGACACGAAAGAGAATTAAAAAATATTGACCATAGACAAACAAATAAAAAGAGACTGGCAAATTAAATGGCAAAGAGAGGGACAACGTTCCCGTAGCGCAACCAGCGCAAATCAGAACGCAAAATTTCGTTCTATTTATGTTGATCTGCGCATTGCGTCTATTGGGTCCACTATCTCATTCTAATATAACAAGAGAGAAAGAAGCAGCCATATAAAACGTAATTTCTAAATAGAAATTAGAACAATCGCCTTTCGTTTTCGTCATCATGACAACCAAGATGACAACATCATGACAATTCGTCATGTTTGTTAATTTTTCTTTTCGTGATTTACCTTTTTTTCTTAAATTTTGTTGACTTATGAATATGGATAGCGAACAAATTCCTTTGTTCCATATAGGTATTTATATTTTGTTACTTATAATTTTAGGTTAAACTATTTGTTATTTTATTTGCTGCAGGAGCCAGTATCATCTATTTTCTCATGCAATGGTACCCCCTTTCTCTGATAGATGTTAAAGACACCCGGTGAAATAAAAGTAAGTAGTTATATTTATCATCTTATTAAGAAAAAAGTAGAAATAGTAGTGTCAAAAATATTTCGAACCTCTCTTAACATAACAAATTAATACAATTAATTTTTCTCATTTTTTGGGTAGGTATAGTTTATAGCTGGTTTATAGTAACCAGAAACTTTATTAATATACCTATTTTACTTTTGTTTTAGGATTAAAACTGGACTGAAAATGGGTCAGGGTCATGATTCTCGTAAAGTCTTCTTTGCTTGGATATTCACATTGTTATTGCAATTAGGCAGTTTTTTCGAAAATGAGATTTTTAATGCTCTTTAAAAAAATTGGCCGATCGTTTCCTGCAACAGTCAGTTCTTCTGCATTTAAAATTGGTAGGTGGGTGGAATAAACACTGTTATTTTTTGTTATTATATTATAAAAAGTTTATTTATTTTTATGTATAAATAAATATGTTTATAAAACAGTACAATTTTTGCTTTTTTTATAATTTCCCTTATAATAGTAGTACACTTTCGTTCTGAAAAAAAACTGCAAATTTTCACTTAAACTGATTTATTCCCTACACCACGTTCCCTTTACGTGGTATAGGGGATAAATTAGTTTAAGTGAAAATTTTCAGTTTCAGAATCAAAGAATACGATACTACTAATAATGGCTAATTTAAATTTTCGGCCAGCCAGAATGTGCGATAATGTCTTACGATACGTGTTATACCTATCTCTTTCTTTTTCATATATAATGTATATATATGTATAATAAAGACGTACGTCCTGCCATGGTCCTGCTAATTGGTTTCAAAATTGTTATTCTGAGTTGCGCTACGGGAACGCGGTCCCACTTTTTACCACGGGATTTGTCAGTCTCTTTTTATTTGTTTGTCTATGATATTGACTCAAAACTGACAACTAAAGAGACAGCTTTATTTATTTGTCAAATTACATAGAAACGAACATTAACCCAGCACAATATTTTTTCTACTCGTAATAAATTCCTTGAAATAATAATTTCCGAATATTTTTTAAAACGTAACTCGCTATGGAAAAAATATTGTTTTATACACAACGATAAAAATGCATTATCCTCTCCCGAAATGAATTCATTTCTATTAATCTTTTCGCTCGATTTTTTTATCGTCTTGTATAAAAAATAACAATTACAACACAAGAAACTAATTTTTTACCTTTTATCTACATCCCTCTGCAATAAACCTTCCAGTAACGATTTTAAATCACTTGAAAAAGAATCTGGTAATATTATGTTCATTGTTAAGGTCATGCGGTCGATTTCATGCTTGTCTTTTGTCTTGTGTTGGCGGAATGGGGAGTGACCTAGAATCAATGCTTATAATAATTGCTAATTTAATGTAGTTATGTATGTCAAACCTTTGAGCAATTTGTAGAGCATACAGCCAAAACTAAACCAGTCAGCTGAAGAGTCGTATGGGGTTCCCTGAAATAAAATCCTTTTTAATATATGTGTTCCAGTCGGATATCCAGTAAATGTTAACAATTACGCAATTTTTATAAAGATTATGTCTCAATTAGGTGGAAAAACGTTGAAAAAATAAAACTGATTATTGCACACGAATTGCTGGCTAACAGAGAATTTCGTTTCCTCACTTACAGAACTTAGCTACTGTAGCCCGTAGTTACAGAACGGATCGACGTACTGTACGAAAACAGGTGAGGCAGGTGAAACGCGAATTTGAATAAAAAAAAATTAGCGAAGATAACCACTTGTCAGCAAATAATCTGTGGTTCAAACCTCAATTCTATTCTAAATATAACTTACTTATATAATGATTTTACCTTAGATAATACTTCAGGTGCCATATAGCCGTGAGTACCTACACTGGCATGGGGCTTTTTCTTACTAAAATCACAGGCTAATCCCAAGTCAGAAATTCGGACGTGTCCGTGTTCATCCAATAGGATATTGGCGGGTTTTAGATCTCTATAGACTATGTATCTTCGGTGCATGTGTTCTAGGCCCAAAATCACCTATAAATTAAATAACATTTTATTTTGTCTGGATGCCAAAAAAAAGAATGAGTAGTAGAACTAAAAAAAAAACGAATAAATCAAGTATTAATGTATTATAAAATATAAGGATTTCTTAAAACAGAACAGATACAAAGTGGATTTGGGGGTTGAGTTACAGGTGGAAAAATAAATATTTACACTTAGGTGCAGCTTTATTCGACCCTGTCTCAATCTAAAACCCCCAGATACACTCCAGCATAATTGGAGCCCAACGTGAGGCGCCAGGATGTACTGGAGTGCATTTGGGGGCTGGAGTTAGAGAAGAAAAAATAAGTATTTACACTTATGTTCAGCTTTATTCTATCCAGGCCCCATCTCATACCCTCAAATCCACCTCAGTACATCTTGGTGCCCACCAGTACCATAAGTTATGAAAAAAGGAAATTAAAACTCTAGGTCTGTATTTAAAAAAATAAAGTTGATGCTAGTTACTCAGAAATGAAACTTCAGATTGAAAATATAATAACACCAACTTGTCGGGTAGAAAAAGTACCAATGAGAATATGATGTCACTGTTCCACTGTCAAATATTTTGTAATAGTTTGGTTTGGTAAACGGGAAAATTTGGGTTTTACAAAATCTTTGGAAGTAGAGGTGGGCAATCGTAAGATTCGATTCACTGCTTAGAATACGGTTCGTTCAATTGAATCGTGGCCAGCACGGTCTTGTATTATTGTTCAGAGACTCGGCTTGAGAATAAACCAAGAGTAAAGGCAAAACTTAGTACATTTTTATTGTAAAACGACAAACACACTATAAACAGAAACAACTACAGATTATTATCGTTCTCACGACATATACACATAATGCAGCCAGCAATACACATACATACCGAATTGTCTGGTTATCTATCCACGGATCCATAAAATTTGAACGAAAGAGTTGTAAAAAGAGTCGTGAGAATTATTGAATCGGATCACAATGCGATCGTTCATTTCTACGTTCGTTCAAAGAATTGATTCATTGTTTACAATACGGTTCGTTCAATAATTGAATCGTGGCCAGCACGGATCCACAAATTTTGAACTATGAGCCGCAAAAAAAGAGTCGTAAGAATTGAATCGGATCATAATGTGATCGTTCGTTAAATATCGTATAATTAGACTTGAACAAAAGAATGGGCATAAAATGCAAACAATAAGAAAGTTATTTACAAGAAAAAAACATTTATACTGTGCTTAATACGGGAATATCTGTAATACATTTAATTTTCATGTCAATATATTTTTTTTCAACAATATTTACCGACTATAAACCATTAAATGACGGACTAAAAGAAGAAATCGTGTTTTTATGCAACTCCAAATAAATATTGTTGGCCTCTGCTCAATATGATAAAAAAACGGAGTCAGCGATGGTTATGAAATTAAGATCGTTGTGATTTTACAACAAACAGTATTATATACTATTTATTATATGACTATTAAATCGGAATTAAAATAAGCTCTAAAAATGTTAAACTGGTATTAAGTCTTTAATAAATAGTATATATGAATTGGATTGATATTATTAATTATTGGTAAAATAACCTAATTACGCCAGTGCCATAAAGTGCTGACAAACAAATGAAAGAACTGTAGGTATATTTCTTTCTCTGGTCCCTTAAGTAATTGTCCGACCAAATTATCGCCGCTAGTACCAGTTACAATTCTTGTTTTTATGAAACGTAAATTGTGCATGTGGTTCGTTCAAATGAACGAATCGTAGGAGTCGATTAAATATGAGAAATTGAATCGTGTTACTCGATTCACTAAAAAGAATCGAAATGCCCATCACTATTTGGAAGTAATCGTATTAATTTGCATTTCGAAACATGACATTGAGTTTTTAGCAAAATTCTACTTCACCATTGTATCTCTACTACAATGTTTGTATTCTAATAGAGACACCGGCTATATCTATAACTTATTATACTAATCCGGGAATACAAAAAACATATTTACAATAGAGTACAATTAATTATTATATCAATTTCAATAATATTTAGCCAATCAGACAAATTATCTTAAATTTCTGAACTAGAAATACCTCTGCCTTATTTTGAGATCTAAAATTAGCGACTGAATATTACGATAACATTTCTATAAACTAAGTATCGAGAACGGTAGATCCTAATTATTTACGTCACTTAAAGAAGATTAATATAATCTCTTACGATGGAGTTCTACTTTGCCAATTAGGAGAATGATCGATGCAATCCGAAGTGATTTACGTCGAGCAAACAGAAATAGATCTCGATATTATTAAGTTTTGTACATTCTATAGGTAATAATTCTATCTCTAATAATTTCTAGCCTTATACAGGGTGTTTTAAAAAACATGTACCATTTCTTGTGTGGAGATTTTTCACGTAAAATTAGATTTATTTTTCATATCAACATGGGTCCGATTCTGCTTTGTTTCGTAGCTACAGGAGGTTAAAGCCTTCATTTTTTACCGGTTTATTATAATTTTTTTCCAAGTGCTTTTAGAGATTCCAATGAAATTAAAAGGGTAAAAGTTACTATGAGTGTGACATATTTTAATGCTGAAAAAAGTGTCAAGAGACTCACAAGGGACGTGCATATGTGTTAGGTTAGGTTAGGTTAGGTTGCTGGGGTTTGGGATCATATTTGATCCCTCACTCGGACGTCTTGGACCCATTGCGATACCCCTGTATTGTTTTACCAAACCTTCCTCTCATTCTTTCTTTGCGTTAAAGCACTTCCAGCTCTTTGCAAAGTTCCCGATGTCGCTGATGTTGGCTTCTGCTGCTTCCTCTAGTCCCTCCAAAAAACCTTGCTCTAAAGTTTTAAAGCGTCGGTATTCCAGTGCCGGACAGTGGCACAACAGGTGCTCTATGGTTTCTTCTTCCTCTCCGCATTCTCTGCTGTAGTCGTCGTCGGAAACTTTCCATCTTACGAGGTTTACCCCCGTGGGACAGTGTCCAGTGACGACACCTACAATTATGCGTACTAGGTCCTTTTCGTTCTCTAGTAGTTGTTTTGTCTTTTTGCTATCTACCACTGGCCATAGTCTACGAGCTGTAGCGCAGTCCTCACGGTGTTGCCACGTCTCTTGCTGCTTGGCTTTGATGGTAGTTCCTATAGCCTCCTTCAGTGTGTTGATCGTTACAAGTGGTGGGTCATCTGCCACGGCCTCTCCTCTGGCCCCGTCTTTGGCGAGTCTGTCTGCTTCCTGACATTGCTGTGGTCTGGCACCCAGCACAGAGTAGCCCCGCCCCGACGCAGCCAGGACAGTGCTTCTCGGCATTCCGTCACAGTTTTCGATCTCACTGATTGCATGGTGATGCTTCTTAAAGCGGCCAAGCTGTCAGAGTATATCACTATATCCCCTATTGGTCTACCAGCAATTTTCTCTCGTATACATCTAGCCGCTTCCTTTATGGCATAAACCTCTGCTTGTAGAACATTACAGCCATCCGATAGCCTCAAAGATCATCGGATGTCTAGTTTCTCTGAGAAGATGCCTATACCTGTGCCCCTGAATTTGCGGAAGCATCTGTGTAGACTGCTATCTCTTGAGTGTTCATTACTCGGTTGCTTTCCCATATGGCATATGGGAAAGCAACCGAGTTCCCTTTGCATATGGGTTATCATTGGAATATTTTTCTAAAAAAATGTGCGCCACTGACTCTTTTTGCTCTTATTAGCAAAAATGTGTTTGTACCTCAGTGTTATAATCAAATTTATAACACTGATGTACAGTGCTACCTACAACAAATTCACCAAAAAAATAATAGTATTTAAGACAAAAGGCTTATTTTTTAAAAGTTCTAATATCCCCTGTAACTTAAAAACTATGCATTTCCGCGCCTATATTTATACAAACTTACTTATATTTTTTGATGAGGAATCAATGAGGATTTATGTAACATTTTGGTAAGATAATGACTATACAGGGTGGTCCGAACTGTATTCCGGAAACTTCGGCGGCATATTTTGCAGATAAAAATAAGTAAAAAAAGGGCGCCACCTAGATATTTTTTAACTGGTTTGAAGAGTAATAACTTTTCGTCCTTACCTGTAAAAACTACTGAATACAAAAAATACATTTACGACGTTTTTTACGTGAAAAATGACTCTTGGTAATCGCTACGAGTAATGGTTTTCGAGATATTTGGAATCGAATTTATCATCGAAGTCATCATTGACATAAATTAAACATGTTGACTAAATAGTTATTAGACTGAAATCATAAATTTGAAATGTTTTTGTTTCAAAAGTTCAACAGAAACTGTTCTATCATCATTTTTGCAGAAAAAATTATGATTAATTTAAAAAATAAAAATGTATTATTTCAGTGAAATAACATCTACTCAACGTCTTTATTTTTCGTCAATAATGACATGTATTGTCTATTTCCATTCTAAATATCTTAAGAACGGTTGCTCGTAGCGATTTTTACAAAGAGATACTTTTTACGTAGAAAGTCACAGAGATGTATATTTTTTTACTCGGTAGTTTTATACAGGTACTAACAAAAAGTTATACGCTTCAAAACAGTTAAAACACATGTAGGTGGCGCTCTCTACTAGTAGGAGTCATATTGAGACCAAAATCAAATTTCTCATGTCAAAAAACTCCCAGACACCAATTTTCATACAAATATTGATGTTACTTCAGAAATTATTTAGAAAAAATCGAAATAAAAATGAAACTATAATATATATATATATATATATTTATTAAATCGATATATATATATATATATATATATATATATATATATATATATATATATATATATATATATATATATATATATATATATATATATATATATATATATATATATATATATATATATATATATACGAACTTTTTTACTTATTTTTATCTGCAGAATATACTGCCGAAGTTTCCGGAATACAGTTCAGACCACCCTGTATATTTTTTAAAGGCTGCTATTAGAATTGGATTAAGACAAATTAATTAAACAGCATTTGTCTCATCAAGGACACTGAAATCGAAAAAATATCGTGGCAGAATTGGGCCTATGTTAATACGAATAATACATAGAAATATCTTATTTTTACGAGAAGAATCTCTCCACGGGAGATGGCACATGTTTTTTGAAACATCTTGTATGTTTCACCACGGTAAAGTACACTTTAGAAAATTTTAGATAATTTATTTATTAATTTACCAACTTGCAGTTAATTTGTACATGTATTTTGAATAACTGTTTATGGTTTATCTGGAATAAATGATATACAGGATGTCGCAATATTCCGAACAACGTAATTTTGGAATCAAAATAAGTTAATTGAACACTGTGTGTTTTAATGAAACTTTTCCGGGTTTTTCTCTTTACTATGTTTTTTTATAATATATAAAAATATCTCTTTTTTAGAGATTCAGATCTGTACTGGATAAAACTGAACTAAGTTAAAAAAAACTGCTATTATCTCGTGTCGACGCGACCTGAACAAACATACATATTGAAAATGTGCTTATAGATTTTTTTATGAACATAATAAAACATTATTTGCATAAAGCGGTATTAGAACAAAGCAATGGAAATAATGAATACAGAATAAACATATTTCAGGTATTATTACTGGATGTACCTGGGACTTTGATATAATATTTCGGTCAAATACTGATTGACAGGAAAAACATATTATGAAGTATAATTAATACACTATAAAGTGAATTATATTCTATGATGATGATATTCTAGTGTCAAAGAAAACATGAATATTTAACTAAAACAGAATGTAATAACTTTGACACTAAAACATCAAGAAATGGCAAGCGAATCTGTTTTAAAAAACTAAAGCGTTCTCGAATAGTTGCATTAAGGTATTTAAAATAGTTTTTATTTCTTCGTTCTTTATGTTCTTTTGCTTCCGACGACGGAAAGTATATACTTTACGAAACGCTAAGTATTTTTTTGCCCGTTAGGCAAATTTGTTTATTAGTAGACCACTGCTGATAATTAGTCTCCGTTGGATTAACGCAGCAGTGTTTACAAAAAATAACTATTTTATTTTGTAGAATTTCTTTTGGAGAGATGAATCCGCCACATAGGTATAGACATTGTGTATATCTCCTTCCGTCACGTCGTCGGAAGCAAAAAAATACAAAGAACAAAGAAAAAACTATTTAAAATATCTAAATACAACTATTCAAGAATATTTTAGTATTTTCTTTGTTCTTTGTGATCTTTCTTGCTTCCGACGACGCGACGGGAGGAGATATATACTGTTTTTTTTTCTCAGGTAAGATTTCGACAGACGATGACAGAAAATAAGCAGATGACGTCCATACCAATCTATTTATTTCGCAAAAAAAGAGGTTTCTAATATTTTTTAAGTTAACTATGGATGGGTTTATATAAAAATCCGTCGTGAGTCGTCTCTTGCTGTTTCTAACCAGTTTTATTGGTTTATTTCAAAAATGACAGATCATATTTCAATATTATGGTATTGACGCAAAGATGAACGATGTATGTACGTACGCATATGCGTATAAACCCGACTTAAGATTTTTGAGGCTTGTCAAACTCTTGCCAAATTATAGGTTATAATTTTGTGTCAAATTATGTCAAATACCGATTTGTGAATTACTTTTGCATTTTGGTTCGTGTTATTAGTTGTGTTTTGTGTTTTTGAAGTTAAGTGGAGGAAAAATTGAAGAAAACATAACTATAGACCCTGCAGAAGCACAGTTTATAGGTAATATTCGGTGCCCAGACAGAGTTTTTTTATACACCAATAAAGTTACCATCAGTATAGTTTGTATACAAACTTGTATATGGTATTAAAAACTGAAGTAGCTGGAAAATGTCATCTCACAATACGTAAATAATAGATTTTAGTACTGCATAAACAATGTCAAAAGGTACTGGTTTAAAAAATTAAGATTAAAATTAATTGAGCAGCTTTTAAGGTAAAAAATTCAGTAAGTGTTATTATTAATAAAATATTTTGTTTTATTTATGTTGTGTTTGATTTATTACTGTGCAATATTATTTTTGTTATTTGTAGGTACATACATAAGTTATATTGATAAATATAATAATAAATGCAGGAAGTTTTTTGAAGCTTGAAAGTAAGAAATAGTTCTTTTGTATATTTTTTTGGTATGTGGTGTTTTGTTTAAAATATACCCTTGTTTGTTTTGCACACATATATTTTGCTTGTACACATACCTTATTTTTTTTTAAATGAAATAAATCGATTAGATTTTTTCAGTTTTATACAGTTTTTTTTCACAATATTTTGAAGTAATCACTTGTCACTCAAATTTTAAATATAGGTATTTATTTCTTTGTAAAATAAATATTTGTAACTCATTTCTTTGTAAAATAAAATACTAGTTTGAAATTATAACGACAGACATATCTATCACTGTCAAGGATTTCAGCGTCGGACAGAGTATATATCTCCTTCCGTCGCACTGTGGGGTATTAGCATGAAAAAGGTGATCGAAATTCGAAAAAGCAAATGTGTTTAAGATTTCCCAAAAACAGATAAATGATAAGTTAAATCATGTCTGCCATAAATGGCGTTGCTATGGGTGTGTTTAGTTGCATTCATTTGTTTCAACGAAACGTCAAAGTTGTTACTTCTCACAGATAAGAGGTAAATGGCTAAATTTTATGTTTAAAATTATAAATTGTTGTTGTTCTTGTGCTCTTTTTACGTTTATATTATTGTTTTGATTGAAAATGGCTCAGCAAGCTGCAAGTATGTATTCTACAAAAACGTATTATTTATTTTGATATTCTCTATACTAACGATTTTTTTGCAACTAAAAGTTAGGCGTTCAGAAAATTTGATTAAATTTGTGACATTTTTATTATACTTAGAGATGTAATTGCGCATTTCGAAGAATTCAGCATATTGTCTATATACGTTTTACTTAGTAAACATTGGGCTTTAATACAGTAAAATAAAATACTGCGACTTTGCTGATAAAATGAGAAAAACATTCTTGGTTTCCTCTAATTTGCCAATCAGTGATATATTAATGCGAGGTGTAAACCGCGATGGGGCATTGTTGTCTACAAAGCGATCGCATTAGTGCCATTAGCAGTATAGCACAATTTGGCATTAGTAGCGACTTTAGTGGTATGGGCATTGCTCGCGGATCAGTCGTAGCATTAGTAGTATTAGTTGCGATATTACTATTGGCATTAGTGGCATTGACCGTGGAAACACTGGAACAGTGATTTTTCTTTCTTTTTCTAGAATCGACGAATTATCCTTTATTTTGTTCATATTATTTCCTCTTTAATTGAAAATAGCAATAATTTATATAAGGTCTACATAAAAAAATTTCGATCAACTATCTGTGTCAAATACCCCACTGTGCGTCGTCGGAAGCAAAAAGATACAAAGAACAAAGAACGAACTATTTAAAATATCTAAATACAACTATTCAAGAATACTTTAGTATTTTCTTTGTTCTTTGTGATCTATCTTGCTTCCGACGACGACGTTAAGCTTTTTTTGTCCGCAAATTTCTTTAATTATTAAAATATCATTAACAAATTGGTCTCCGTTGGATCAACGCAGTGGCATTTACAAAAAATAACTATATTATTTTGTAGATTTTGTTCTAGTGGCGAAAAACCCAGAAGTAATAAAATATTTACCTCGGAAGCGTAAAACCGCATCTCCTGCTCGGTAAAGACGCCGTGCTGACTCAGGTGGTAGTGCAAATCGCCGCCGTTCATTAGGTCCAAAATAAAGCAGAGTTTGTCGGGCGTGTGAAACGCGTACGTCATACACACAATGAACGGACAGTCCTGTCCCGTCGAGACGAGGCTCAGCATGATGCGCTCGTTCAGCGCCAGCGTCTCGCCCTGCTTCATCTTGATCCGCTTCTTGTCCAGACACTTCATGGCGTACATTTTGCCGGTGTCGGCCTTCCGACAGCCGTACACCTCGCCGAAGCCGCCGCGGCCGATGATCCGATGCACGCTGAAGTCGTTCATCGATAACTGAAATCGAAAAATATAGATATTACCAAGACATAAATTTGGACCCATTTGGGTCATATGTTTGGGTCTATATCAATTTGGGGAAAAAATCATGTAAAATATAATAATTTCAGTAAACCAATTTAATGTGAGCCTAAAGGATCAGTTTACCTGCATAACGTCGTCTTATACAGGGTGAGTCTTAAATAAGTGCAAATATTTTTAAGGGTAGTATATTTCGATCCCAGAAACACGATTATGAGGTTTCTTTCGCGAAATTTTTTTTTTCAAAATTTGGATTTTTTTGAAATGTTTTTTCTTTTTAGTTAAAAAAAATAATTTGTTGATAATATGGCAACATAGGTAGTAGATTAAATTTACTAGATAGACAATTCACAAAAGATCCAGTGATTCTTAAGATTTCAGCAAAAAATCATTTTTTTGGAAATTTTCAAAGTAAAATATGTATCTTGGTTATTTTAGATTTATTTGAAAAACGGTACAGATAAAATATGTTTCTTTTATCAAGATCTACCAGCCCTGAAAATATTTGCACTTATTTAAGACTCACCGTATATACCGTGCTGGCAACTATTACTTTTGGGTCGGTATGTACATGTGTGGAAGTAAATCGCATAGGGATCTTATTAAGTCGGCGCGGCGTGAGAGAAACGCGACGGTGTGCTATTGCTGCGTTGCCGGTTTGCCTTTCGCATATCGATTTTTGAATTGAGAGTTCTAATAGCGCGACCACTGTCGAGCACCAACTCAATTCCACTTATTTTTACAAAAAATTCAAGTGTTTCTAACTTGCACTTAAAAAGTTTCGAGCTATAGGGAAAATTACAACGACTCGTTAATAAATAAACAAATAAACTATCACGTGACGTAATTAAATCGTAAAGCTGAACGCATGATGTACACCATTCCCTAGAACTTTAAGTACTGACAGGTACTGATTCAGTCGACTGGTCGACTGCGACAAATCTGCTATATCCCCTTCCACGTCTCTTTTAGCAACGTGCACAGTTTCTCGGTTTAATTCATACGATTGGTAATTCAACGTGTTTAGTGTTCTCTCTTTGTTCAGTACATTATAAACGCATTGTACTCTTCTTACATACAGAAATCTCGACCCAAGACTAACCTTTGCCAGCCCTTAGTATGTTTGTAAATAACATTATTAATGAAACAATTTAAATATAACTAACTGGTCGACGAAATCAGATGCCGGTAACTGTAGGCTGAATTATTGCCCTGAAATATTGTCATACACATACGGGACAATATTTAAATTCTCAGTCGAACCATTGTGAAGCAACCATTGCAAAATATTGTCATCGAGCAATCAGTATATGCAGTGACCAAGAATCTCTGAATTCTGAACTAAATAATATTAAAACCGATTTGCTTCAGAATGGTTACCCTAGACAATATTATATCCAATTATGAGTCTGACTCATTGGTGCGCCAGCTTGAGAAATATGTTGTTTCTCTCTCTTGACGATTCCATACCTGAAATGAACATCGGAGAAGATAAGGCGAATAGCCAACCAATATAAAATTAAAACTGTTTTTAAGTCTGGGACTACTCTGAGAAGTGTCCTAACAAAAACAAAACCTGAATCATCAAAACAAGAGAAGATATCTATCAGGTACCTTGCGAGTGCGGTGAGTCGTATATTGGAGAGACAAAACGTCATCTACATGTACGATTTGACGAACATAAAAATATCAGAAAAGAGATGAAACAATGAAATCGGGCATTATGTGTGGTCCATTTAAAAGTGAGAGCGTCATTTAAAAATCAAAAGTTGTAGTCATTTTCGGTGAAACAGGAAGTGATAAAAAACAATTGAATACGTCAATTAATTCTAATTTATGTCATAAATATACTAATATACATAATCTTTGTTTAATCTGAAAAAATAAAAAAGTTACAGAGATGAGCTATTTTTAAACGCCCCGGCATAGTTAGAAAAGTCACTCTGATATATGTTTAATGCAAACTGAAAATAAATATGCAAGCTTGCTTTCGTAATAAATAATTCGTTTTAATAAAATATTTATTTATTTTATCTTTTGAACGCCAACACGTATGCATATTTTAACAAGCAGCCTTAATTTGATGTAATATTATATTATAAAACATGTTTTATGATTTTATAACATTGATGAAATGAAGAGAAAATAAAGCACGCTATATTTTTAGATCAAAATGAAAAGTATTTTAAATTTAGAATGTACATACCGACGTTTATTATAAGCAACTGGCTTGTTGATTTTAATTTATTTGCTAAACATACGCTTCAATGGCTGATTTTTTAAATTAATTTATTCAATTTTAATTGAATTATTTTCTCAATAAATAAAAAATAGTTGCACCATTTATAACTCTCTCGCCGGGCCGATTTTAATGATCTTTGATTTGTTGGATTCGTCTTTGCTCGAATAGCAGAGGAACTATAAAAATATAGGAAAAATTGACGGAAAAATTATACAGAGAATTAATTTTTAAATAAACTAGGTTTGGAACGCCATCTTTCCCAATTGATAGCTAACAACACGCACGCTTATATCTTATAATAATAGTTGATGTATACAATAGTCATTATAGAATAGATGTTCAACAGAAAATACTGGGAAAATATCATATTCGAACCTAGAAAGATAATGAAGTAGGTATATAGAAAAAACTTGAATCAAAATGTAAACAAAAATATAGAGAACAAATGACAACAACTTTCAAATCGACTGATCTCAATAATTCCAGATCATTTGGTCAATCAGTCTTTCATACCACACGACTGACAAAAACAACTCACTTCACTATTAGAAGATATGAAGTAACCCGTGTCAGTTAGTTGAATATATTTTTAGTTAAGTTTAATCGACATTATCTGTTATATTGTTATACATATACATGTAGGTTTTATAACAAAAAATTGTTTCATATTGTATACAAAAATTAACGACAATAGATTATTAAACGATTTAGTTTTAATGAAAGAGGTACATTTCATATTAGTATTGCGATTTTTACATTTCTTTTCATAATTCTGTTGTACATGATAAGCATGTATTAATTAAATACAAGTTAAGGTTACAATTTTAATATAATGTATTATTATCATGTAATAACACTTCAAACGTATTTTGTTTGTCATTTATAAATAAATTATGACAGCATTCTAGAAATGTTTGTATAAGCTTAACTATAACGAATATTGAGATATAATATAATAAAATAGATAAACATACCATGCTGGCAACTCTTACTGTTGGGTCGGTGTTTACGCGTGTGGAAGTAAATCGCATAGGAATCTTATTAAGGCGCGATTCTCACTATACCGTCCCGCCACCGTCACACCGAGCCGCCGCGCCGGCTATCTGCCGGCCACCACGGTAACTATTCTTAAATTACCAGCAATGAACATATTCACCTTACCCGTAACGTCGCCGTCCCGTAGTAACGTCCTGGCGTCGTAGTAACGTCCATCTCCCATTTACTTCATGTTATCTGTCGAGACGGCACAGCGCGGCGGCTCAACGTGATGGTGACGGAACGGTGGCGGGACGGTATAGTGAAAATCACGCCTAAGTCGGAGTGAGAGAAATGCGTGGGTGTGCTGTTGCGGCGTTGCCACATTCCTCCGGTAATCACGATCGCAAATCGCTTATTTTTATTTTTTTTTTCGAAAAGATAATTAGATAAAATTATTAGACATGTTTCTGAGCATCTAAAAAGGAATAATAAAGATATCGTTAGGGTGTATATTTTTTATAACGAGAAAACGTCAGTAATCGCGATAATTTAAAAACTTAACTTTTTAACAAATAACACGCGATAACTCAAGAACTACTTTAGATATTGAAATTTTTTTTTGAAGTTTGGATCTTTTAGAAGACGTTTAAATAAGAAAAATTCGATAGGATTGTTTTTTTACATTCAAAAATTTTAGAAATCCCATCCATTTACTTTTAGTGCATTGCAATTTTCAGCAATCGTGTAACTTTTTTATTTATAAAGATTTTCACATACTGTCTAGAAAGAAAATATAACAGAAATATTAAGAAAGTTTTTGAAAAAAACTACAATCAATTATTTCTAATGGATTTCGAGATATCGATCTTTGAATTCAGAGTTCCAATAGCCATATTCATATTAACAGAGTTCCAAAGTTCCAAGTTAGAAAAACTTGCACTTAAAAATTTAAGAACTTTAGGAAAAATTACAACGACTTGTTAATAAATAAACAAATAAAGTACCACGAGACGCAATTAAATCGTCACGCTGAACGCATGAAGTACACCCTTCTTCATACGAAAATCTCGACCCAAAACTAACCTTTGTCAGCCCTTAGTATAATACAAAAAATGAATCATAGTAGAAGTTTAAAAATACATGCTTTTATTTTTTTAGTTTGTTATTTGAGGTAATACCATACGATAAAAAAAACAGCGCCAAAGAATAAAAATCATTTTTAAATGCTGTAGTTTACAATTCAAAAAAAAATTGTTTTTGAAATAGATTTGTGTCTGAAAACGTTCTATCCTTTTTTAATCTCTTTATAATTGGTGTTAAGTTTATCTCAATTATTATTAAATTAAGTCTAGAGATTGACCTCGCCAAAATTATCATCGATTGTCATCCCCAGCCGTCTTTGATATCGTTTTTTTTTCGATCAAACGGTACTTCAACATTACATTATCAATGTTGAAATAATACTGGATCAATTTAGTAATATATGCATAACAGCATTTTCTAAAATTAAGCTATAAAGTTTTAGAAGTGTTTTTCCAAATATCAATGATAATAATGAAAACTAAAAACACATAAAATATGCATTCGAATAACAAACAGCCCTAATATGATATGACACTTCATATAAAATCGTGCTTCTTATTTTTCTGAACTGTAATATAAAAAGAATAGAGAGACAATAAAGTATAATATATTTTTAGATCAAAGAAACTCATATTGTAAATTTATCAAATAGATATTTCTGAAATAAAGTGTC